GGAACAGATGAAGATCAATACGATTTGTGCATCCAACATGTATATGTTGGATGCATGGTTTGCATTAATCTTCAGCTGTTCCCCACTAGTTGCAGTCTGCTGATGTGATATTTTTTGCTGCATTAATTTTGGATTTTTGCACACTGTAATGAAATCCTGCAAAAAGGCTTGCTGACTGACCTCTAGACACAGACTATGACGTCTATGAAGACCGATTCCCCTTAATATGCAAAGAACAAGCGAGATCTATTGGGTCTCTAAAGTTAATATTAGCAGGAAAATAGGTTTTCGCATAAAAGGTTAAACCCTATAGGCAACTTGCCTTACCTTGGATATAGGTTTTCAGTTACTGACTGGGCTGGAAGCACCCTGTTACTATGGCCTATAAGAAGAATACTCTGCCATACCTAATATATAGTGCCAGGGGATGCCTGGATACCACTTGCATTAAGTGTACCCTGTAACTGATCACCTGTTACCCCGACAGGGTACCTCCATTGAAGGATGCTCCAAGCACTCCGCCAGACACCACAACCACCGCAGACCCCACGAACCGCCGCAGCTTGGTTGGGGTCTCGCCGTCTCCTACCCACCCTGGACCTACGACAAGGCTCCAGGTTCCAGTGGGTGAACCTCTCCTCTAAGAGAGTGAAACAGGAACAAGCTCTTAAAAGAGCTTAGTAGTGATTATCCAAGGGAGCATGCAGAGCATAGCAATCCCTTGTAGTGATATAGCAATTCCCCCAATAAGAGACAGGACTCTAGATTGAGGGTGAAGAAGAAGTCTCTGTACTGGCACATACAGCCTCTTTTATTCACATTCTACAAACATAGTACTGCCCACGGGGTTTTGAAGCACAACCAATCAACACATTATAACACAGCTAACACTCCCATTCATTACATCAGAAATCCTCCCCTCTGCCTGTGATACAATTATCTCAACACAATAGACTAACTTAATTATCACAGTCAGGAAAATACAGTATTATAAAACATATCACAGGGACCCCAAAACATGCAATAATAATCGGAACCGGGGGATCTGGGTGAACCACATATCCAAAATTCACCCAGGTCCGTTCAGTAGTTTGGAAGATACGGTTTAATGCAGATTCCGCAGAACATATACAGGCTATATGAAAAATAATTACTGTTAAATGTGTCCCCTGTCCTATAGTTTCAAACTACGGCACGATGTCTTTGTGCACCAAATACCGGCGAGATGGCACCATGTAGAAAAGTCCAAACCGTGTCTGTGAGTCAAAATGGCCGTCATCCATTGTTCTCACCATGTGCCTCTGATACATGAAATGGTGGCCACCCAGTAACTCCACAGTATGTCCCCAGATGGTTCTTAAAGGGCCAGCAGCAGCATAATAAAATACAATATGCCCAAATCAGTTCCTTAAAGGGCAATACATCCCAGGGCCATAGTCGCAGGGCAGGAGGCTGGCAAACAGGCCCCTCCAAAAACCAGTGGCGAGGTCACTTTCGCCACATACCCCAAATACATTTAAAGGGACACTATAGTCACCAGAACAGCTACAGCTTATTGAATTTGTTCTGGTGATTATAATCATTACCTTCAGGCTTTTTGCTGTAAACACTGTCTTTTCAGCCTAGTGATAACTGGACGCTGCTCCCCATTTCCACTGCAGCTTTAAGAGAAGAGAAAGTTGTCTGTGAGAGTTAAGCCCCGCAGTACAGGGTTTAGCTTATTGGCTGAGAGAGATCAGCTGAAACTTTCAGCCAGTCCTTTAGCCCTGATGGAAACTTGCAGCGCTCTCCTTTAGTTGTATTGGGAGTGGTGACTAGTTCTAAAAACTGTCTGGCTACCTAAAATATCAGGGAGTGGGGAGGGGTTCCAGGACAGCTTGAGGGATGTGGTTATGGTGCTTGAAGTGTTCTACTAAGATCTTAGTTGATCATGAGACTGTGGCAATAACTCTTGATTTTATATGATGGGACAGACAGTCAAAATGAATGTACCACTGATTTGTATTTGCTCTGTCTGATCTATTACAACTCTTCCTGTTACTATTTTATACACTAATCATTCTGTATTTGGTTTTTCTGTTTACAGCTACTGCTTCAGTCCTGTCCCAGACAATGCCTTCTGATACAGAGGAAATTCCAGATGATTTTGATGATTTGCTTGAGGATTTAGATAAAAAAGAGGAAATCACTGAGCCCCATCAAGAGACGGAACCTATAGCTAGCCCTGGAGAACCGGAACTAGTTCCAGATCACACTCTTAGTCCAAAGCATGAGGCACCTACTGACCCAATCTTCCAAGCAGAAAACTTAGATTGATGTTTATAATTATTATAAAACTGTATATAGTCTTGTACTTATTCAATAAACTATTTTTTTTCTCATAAAATATATTATTGTGACTTTTTTGTAACACATGAATGGTTGGAATTTGAAGTGATTTTGATAGGATGGAACAGTCCAGCTATTTTACGGCAGTTCCCTAATATTTATAAGGAAGAAAGGTAATGACTAGTGGTCCTTGGCAGTGCTCGTTGCAGATGTGCCAGAAGTTTCCTTTGCTTGCATCACCATGTGTATTCTCTCTTATGCTAAAAAATACAAAACCGGTTTCTATGGAATAAATAATCAGACTGTTTGTAGAATCGTCTTTGCATGTGCATTATTGAGCGTCAATGCAAAAGATCCCTTCATTTTCTGATGGTGCATAGACAAAAGAGCTGAAGAAAAGGAAACTATTCTAATATTCCTGCCTTGTTAAAAGCAATGCAATAGTGAACTTTGCCTTTGAAAAATACAAGGTGTTTTTGTGTGAACTGATGAGGGCAGGGAAGCAGTGAACAGTGAATCTTATCAGGGAAAGCAGGTATTTGGTTTATTAGGTTATTCTATCTGCGCTCTGCATGAGGACATCCAGTGTCAAAAGAAACCCCATAGGAAAGCACTGAATAATGCTTTCCTATGGGGAAATCTTAATGCGAGTGCAGTCATTGCCATGCATGCGCATTAGCTCTACTCCGCTGGTGAAGGAGCATGGGCGGAGCTGACATTGGCGCTGGACACAGGTAAGTGACTAAAGTGCACCCCCTTCTGCACCACGGGGGTGGGCCTTGACAAAGTGGGAATCTATAGTGCCAGGAAAACGAGAGAGAGTGTGTATGTATGTATGTATGTATATAGATATAGATATAGATATAGAAAAGCTTAGCACAGGATCCTGTTTTTCATATGTAAATCAATAGGTGCTTACCGCCTTAAATCATGTTCATCTGTGAATCAAAAGATCCTTGTGTAATATGTCCTCCCTATTGGAAAGTTATATTTATTTAGAATGGTAATTTAAATGTATCTATTCTGTTAAATGACTAGAATTACCTACATGTACTAACTATTATCAAGACTATTTACTAATGTAGAGAATGTAACACTTGTAATCATGTTTATTTAGTGTTATAGACTAGTAAAAAAAAAACATTTATTTTCACATAAAATTTTAACATTTTATATTCTTATATTTTACACAAGCAAATAATGTTACATAGTTACAGAGCTGAAAAGAGACTTGTGTGATTATTGAGGTGAGATTAAGTGATTACATGTTAATTTCTAGTGCAACACACATTTAACCAGTTTAAGTAAAAAAGCGGGTAATCTGTTTTCAACAATCTTCATATATAAATTTTAAAAATGGGATTCCAAGTGTTTCATTCTCTACATTAGTAAATAGTGTTATATTAAACAATGGAGATGTATATAGTGAAAGTATTGTTAAAGTGCTTTAACTCTGTATGATGCATGTGTCAGGCCCCATTCTGCATGTGTTTGCTTATATTTACGTAATTTAAGTAGTTTAGGTGTATTGGGAAGAAAAAAATAAGTGTGTGTGTGTATATGTGTTGTTTTTTGAGGTTGTTTTTAGCTGCTGAGAAAATCATTTGTGGTACGTACAAGGAGGAGAAGCAAATTATGTGTCTAGGTGTTTCTTTAAGAATATCTCTTGGTGTAGAGATTCTATGGGCTCTCTCTATTGCTTCATTTTTTGCCTCTTCTACTCCCATCTCTTTAAACAGTTCCAGAAGAAATGTGTTGAGTTGGGTAATTCCTATTTTCTCTGTGACCTCCTCTTATCTTTCGGTTCTTCCTGCAACTCCGATCTTTGTTATTGATTGTATCTTCCATTTCAGGTATCTTCTTTTTTAAATCCGTAATCTGTGAATTGGCTTGATGTAATTAAAAATTCAGGCCGCTTATCTTTTCTTTCTTTATCTGGATCTTTGTACTCAATTTCTGTATCTCTTCTTTGAAATCTGCAAATTGACTTCTAAGTTACTTTTTTATTTGCTCAATGTGGTTGTCCAAACAGTTCTGAAGTTGAGCTTGATTAATAAATTGTGTTTCTGATATTGAAGTGCTTAGTGAGTTTCTTCTCAGTGACTCCAAAGTTCCTCCTATCGAATTTAATGAGTCTACGTGAGTTTCTTCATAATTATTTTTTGGGGAGATTTATGGTGAAAATAGAAGTTAATTTTTAATTTCTTCGTTCTGCTTTAGACCTCTTCTCTTTTTTTGCATTTGTTTTTAGAATCCCTTATTTCCTTTTTTGTAGCCATAAATTTGTGCTTATAGTATAGGAGGGAAAGCACAGACAAAGCAAGCAACAACAAAAAAAATAGAAAAAACAAAAATAAAATCTGTTCACTATATGAAGAGATTTCTGCAAAGATCTATGAATAACCCATTTTGTTCTCTGCTGATACTCATCCTTAGCTTTCATCCATTTATGTTCTGCTGCTAACAGTACTACTTTCCTTCGGATTTTAAGTGTTACCCCCTATCCACAGGGTATAAGAAGAAACACTGTTGCCCCGATTTCAAGGAGACAATATACAGACTCTGTATTTAGAATACCAGAGAGCAATTCACCACACAGTGTTTTACATTCATATAAAGACTTGTTTTACACATTCAAGCCGACTGCTTCATTACTAGCTGCACTATCACTTTAAAGAAAAAAAAAAATCTTTTCAAAATGTATGTGGTTAATAAGTGCTTCTCTGATATAGATTTTAGTCCTCTTCGTTTGTCCGTTAAGTCCAATGGATTTAACAGTGTAGAATTTAGGGATAGGGCTAGAGTGAGTGTCTTAGTTCAGACCATCAGCATCATTTGCCATACAGATTCACAATTCTCTCTTTTCACTTTATCATTCTTTGTTTAGCGTCTAGCTAAAACGGTTTTGTTTTGCCTTCTTTTGGATCAACAGCAAAAAACAAATGTGAGGAAGGCTGAACTTGATGGACGCAAGTCTCTTTCCAGCTATGTAACTATGTCTCAGCGCCTGTATTTAGAACTCCACCGCCAGGTCAGCCAGAGATGCCGCTTGCGTAATTAAGCTTTTCAGGAGTTCTATTCTCCCTCTAAATGTTTGCATTAGTTGAAGAAATTAATGGTAAATTTTCAGGCTGGACAAAAGTGGTAAGTGGTGTCCCTCAGGGTTCTGTTTTGGGACCACTTCTATTTAATATATTTATAAATGATCTTGAAATAGGCATTGAAAGCCATGTATTTAGTGTTTGCAGATGACACAAAACCTTGTAAAGTAATAAAATGTGAGCAGGATATTGCTTTGCTGCAGAGAGATTTGGATAGATTGGGGGACTGGGCACTAAAATGACAGATGAAATTTAGCATAGAGAAATGCAAAGTTATGCACTTCGGGGTTAAGAATGCACAAGCAACTTACACACTAAATGGTAGTGACTTAGGGATAACCACACACGAGAAGGATTTGGGAATTGTTATAGACAACAAATTAGGCAGCAATATGCAATGTCAATCTGCAGTTGATAAGGCCAGTAAGATTTTGTCATGTATAAAAAGGGGCATAAATTCTTGGGATGAAAATATAATTCTGCCTCTTTATAAATCGCTGGTAAGACCACATCTTGAATATGCTGTGCAGTTTTGGGCGCCTGTTCTAAAGAAGGATATCATGGCACTGGAGAGGGTCCAGAAACGAGCTACAAAATTGATAAAAGGAATGGAGCATTTTAGCATTTTTTTAAAAATTAAATCTGTTTAGTTTGGAAAAACGGCGCCTGAGAGGGGATATGATAACTTTATACAAATATATTCGGGGCCAGTACAAACCTTTATCTGGAAATCTATTCATAAACAGGGCTATACATAGGACACGAGGTCACATTTAGGCTGGAAGAAAGGAGATTTCATCTAAGGCAAAGAAAAGGTTTTTTTACAGTAAGAACAATAAGGATATGGAATTCTCTGCCTGAAGAGGTGGTTTTGTCAGAGTCCATACAGATGTTTAAACTGAAATTGGATAAATACTTACAAAAACATGACATACAGGGATATAATATCGAATTAGTGGGGTAATAGCTGCTTGATCCAAGGACACATCTGACTGCTATTTTGGGGTCAAGAAGGAATTTTTTCCTAGTTTGTGGCAAAATTGGAAGCGCTTCAGACCTGTTTTTTTGCCTTCTTTTGGATCAACAGCAACAACATTTATGAGGAAGGCTGAACTTGATGGACGCAAGTCTCTTTTCAGCTATGTAACTATGTAAGAAGGTTGAAGATATCCATACCAGTTGCTACAACACCCGCGGGCTTATCGGACGCTCCGCACACCCAGCGTCTTATGTCATGCCGTGCCACCCCCATTTCTTAAGTTATTGATTATATTTGATATATGTCAGCATGGTGATTGTGTTTCAAATACTTTTCACAGAGAAGCATTGGCAGATCTCAACAATTGGCATGTATGTGCCTGCAATACTTTGCTATGACAAGCATCTATTTGGACACAAGTAACCCTATTGTAAAGTGCTACGGAAATTGTTGATGCTATATAAGTATAATAATAATTGTTGACTTCAGCAAGGGAGGAGCTTTTTGTAGTAAGGAGTCTGTCCTAGTGCTGGGAGTAATATGTTTTACTTAAGGTAGGTTACAGTGAGTTTTACAATCTTGAAATGAGACAACACTGCAAAGCACTGGCATTGGGAAACAACAGTCTGAAGGGTCCACCGCGGGACAGACAGCTGAGGCTCCTTTGTAGGCATGGAGCTTTGACCTCAGCTTGGGTCCAGCAAGTAAGCCCCACGTGGGTGTGCAAAGACCCCGAAGGCCGTTATGGAATTAGTGCATCTCTCAAAATGGGGTCAATTCGTTGGTGGGGGGCACAATGTCAAGTCCTAGATGTTGTGTAGGGGCCACATATAAGGGAAGGTTGTGCCAGTCTTCTTTATCTTGCATCCAAAGGGGATGGTAAGCAGTTGCTATCTACACAACCAAGGTAGCTCCGTCGGGCTAAGGTACTCAATGTGAAATGCCAGTTATCAGTGCTTGGTGGGAATATCTGTTTACAATGGTAGTAAGTGTCTAGGCTGGCAGAAGGTGATGATCTAAGACTTGAGAGCCTACTTTAGTGATGGTGGGCGTGCAGTGGGCTTAGTTGATTTGAAAGAGGGGAGGGAGGAAAAAAAAAAGGCCAAAATTGGGAAAGGTGATCGGTAAGCCTTAGCGCAGGTTACAGTCTGCCAGCATAAGGTCTGTCGTGTCCCTGCAGGTGGGCCGAATGCACGATCCCCGCTGGGACATGAGGTTCATTGGTAAAGTAGTAGTCGTAATGCTAAACATAAGAAACATAGCAAGTCCTGATTACAAATCAAGTACCATTAGTATGGAGTGGTATAAAGCTAGTAGTGCTGAAATTTCTTTCACACCGGACCTCAGGGATCACAAACAGGTCAATCCTGACTGGGGCATTGCGTGTTGCGCTCATGAGGGCTTACTTGGCATGAAAATAATGAATGCGCACTGTGACATCTCATGGGTGAAACAGTCAGCCGATGGGTTGCGTAGGGCCCTATGGGCGCAATCCTAAGAACTCCACTAGAGGGACATTAGGCAGTAGGCCGCAGAAAGTTTTATGCAGTATGGAGGGGAGTATTGTGGGCGTGATGGTCTCTGGGAGCCCCCTTATTTGGATATTGTTGCGGCAGGATCTGTTAAAATTCTCTTGGGAATCTTCAAAGGGTTAAAATTGCTCACATAGGCCCTGGATTGCCTGGTTAGAGTTTGTGGTGGTAATAACCTCCACCTTCTCTTCAATCTTCTGTGTTCTTTTGGTAAGGTTTTTAGCAATGGGAGGCAGGTGTTTCGAGAGCTCCAATGCGAAGTGGTCCTTCATTTCCTGGAGCATGGATTTCAAGTCCATCCTGGTGAGAGAGGAATGTTCAGGGCAATGGCTAGTGTTGCTAGCCTCTGAGTCAGACTCAAGATAGCTCCTGCCACGTATCGCGGACCAATCCGGTCTACTGCTGAGGAAGATCAGGGCCACATGCTGCTTGGACTTATGTGCACCACCCATTTCAACCCATAGTCGAGGTGTTTGTGTACAATATAATGGTGTTTTGTTGGGAAAATGGTAAGTTCTTCCACTAGTGTATGTTTTAGAGTCGCAGGCACACATGGAGCTCTAGCAAAGAGCAACCATTCGCACCGGAAGTCAGCCGTGTCCCTTTACCTTTCTTTTTCTTTTAAAAGGTGGGGTCCTGTGATATAATAATAATGAAACACTTTATTTTGCAGTTTGTATGGCTGAGGTAGATGTTTTTTTTTTTTTTTTAAATCTTTATTTTAGTGAGGCATTTACGCAAAGCAGTATAAAGAATGACAATGGAAAGTTGCTCGGCCCTGAACGCAGTCAGGGGGAACGAGCTTCCGTAAAAAGTAGCCTCCATTTTTCTTTTTGTAACAAGTATAACACAACATTGCAGGTATTGGGTACAATCAGTTAACAACGTATTAGGATAATATGCAGTGTATATGTGACAACGGTTATTGCTTCGTATACTTAGTGGCCTGCAGCTCTACAGGCCTGCGACCCATAGGCCTGGATCTCTCATGCAGGCTCTCATGAAAATTTACGGCATGTAACATATATCAGGCTTTGTCAAGGTGCAACATTACACTCTTATATGGGGTCAGTGTGTCTGGGATATGCAATGGGTTTGTAATGGTGACCTGTCAGTTTCTCTATTGATTAAGACATCATTTGTGTATGTGGTTAAGAGAAAATTGTCACGCTGTGTGAGGTCTGAGCCGGGAGGCCCGAGATGTGAATTATGCGTTCTCTGTCGTGCGTGTGCGGGTTAAGAGCCCTTGACCAAGGGGGTTGCGGGGGCGGGGGGGTGTTTGGTCCGCCATGTAGTGTGGTCTCTACGTCATCCGACCAGGCCGGCTATTTCTTAAATTAGTTTGTCCTATTAGAGGGTAGCAATAGGGCAGCAGCTAGAGATATATGACAGATATTAACTATGAACATAGAAATAAGAGTGAACTTAAATAATGTATTAACACATGTGTAGACAAGTGTTCATTCAGGGCTGTCTGTGTGTTCATCGATCGTGGGACGAACGGTGGTATGGACGCAGGGTCCCTCATTGCCGCCTGTGATGCCGAGGTGGAGGGCACATCAGCTTGCGATAGTCCCAAAGTTTCCAGGAAGGTCGGTGCATCCGTCATGGATGTCAGGGTGTGTGTCGTCCTGCCTTGGGTCGTAGTCAGGGACCCATTCAGTCCCCATCTGTATTGTAGCCCCGCAGCTCGCAGTTGTGCTGTCACCGTGCTGTATGATTTGCGGTGTAGGAGAGTGGCTCTTGTTAAGTCCTGGAAAAAAGTGAGACTTGCGGTTTCAAAAGTGAAGGGGGTTTTGCCCTTCATAGCTGACATAATCTGTATCTTGTCCGGTAGTGAGGTGCAGCGGAGGATGACATCTCGTATCGCTGTGGACTGAAAGTGAGAAGGGCTTGGGAGGCGATAAACACTGTCGATAGCTACTCTCTTTGCCTTTGCATGTGGCAGGATTGCGGCCAGCAGTCTCCTGATGTAGTGGGGTAGCTCTTCAGCCGTAATCTCTGTGGGGATGCCCCTGATTTTAACATGGGTTCGCCTCTGGCGATCTTCTAGTGAGGTGAGCTTAAGCGACAGAAAGTGCTGCTGCGTGTACAGTGTCTGTATGGAACCCTGTACTTCGGAAAGGTGAGATTGTACCTCTGTTATGGCCTTTTCGTTGGTTCCAACCCTCTCCGACACTGCACGGACCTCCGTTTTGAGAATGGCCGAGTCGGCCGCGAGTAGCTTATGTATTTCGGTTAGTAGGAGTTTTAGGTCCTTTTTCGTAGTAGGAGCTGAGTCATCGGGTGGGTCTGGAGGCCCATCTCGTTGTGGTGGTGGGTGCGGTGATCCCTCGGGCCCAGTTTGGTGTGGCGCCGGGGCCTGCTCTCTTTCTTCCACGGCGGGAGGCCTAGGTGGCGGTGGCTTCTGGAACATAGTTCCTATGTCCCTAGTTTCTGCCGAGGTGTGCGTCCTCTGAGAACGCCTACCCATGCTTGGCAAGCTCTGGGATGAAGCCTGTACCGTGTGGGTGTAGGGTTGTTCCGCTCTTGATGTTGCGATTTCTCCCAGGAAACTCCCCAGGCCTTGCAGCGTGTTGTAGGCCCCGGTTTTGGGTTTCCGTCGGGCTGGCTTTGGCGGTTGGAAAAAAGGCATCTATCGATGCTATACGTTCCTCTGATCACAGCTGGGATTGTGTGGAAGCCGGATTGGAATCGGTTTAGCAGATATCGTCTGGATTCGATTTGCAGTTTTGGGAGCTTCAGAAATGGCGTCTGGTCAGGACGCTTGGTAAGCCCCGCCCCGGCTGAGGTAGATGTTACCTCCAACAGTAAAGTTCTGTTCCTTTAGGACATGGACTTTACCATATACATGTATCCCTGCTGTGTGCGTTAGAGAAGTATGACACAAATTCCTTGCAGCAGCCCTGCCTGGAGGACACAGGTCTTATTTAGGTTCTGGGCCTCTAGGGTTTCTTTCATTAGATGCCATCAAATTACTTCAGTGCAAACTCCAGGGTGGCACCATACCCAAAGGGGGTCAGTGCTTTAAGTTGCCACATGCCAATTCCTCTCCACAGGGTGCAGTGTGGGTTTAATGGTATATGTAACTACCATTGTGTATTTGATAAAAGGTTCTAACACTAGAATACTATGTGCTCATTAGGCTACCCAGACAAAAATCTATGATTAGGTGAGAGTATTTTAGGGAGCAATCAGCTAATTCCAGTTAGCACTTCAATAATGATAACATTGGGTGCTGCATTGCTATGATAGGAAAACAAATTTTAAAATGTTCATATTTTCTCTTTTCATGCTTTATTAAATTATGACACTAATGTATTTTATGAACAATAAAGGAACTTGTGGGCAGCTTCATAAGAAAATAAAACCTCTGAACAAGCAGATTTTGGATTATGCTTGCTTACACATGTGACAGACAGACAGACAGACAGACACACACACACACAACTACTCACTCAGAGGGGCATCACACAATTCGTATAACAAGCATCAATGCTACCGCCTTAGGGGAGCACACAACTAATTTATGTACTGAGTAATACTGAAGGCCAGTGGCGTACACATGACCCATGGGGCCCCGGTGCAAAAATTGATCCGTGGCGCCCCCCACGCTTAGCGCGGGTCGGGGGCCGCAACACATGACGGCGGGCACCTGGTTGCAGGGCTGCGACCCCGTGACGCACACACACTTTTAAAGGACCACTACAGCCACCCAGATCACATCAGCTCAATGACGTGGTCTGGGTGCCAGGTCCCTCTAGTTTTAACCCTGCAGCTGAAAACATAGCCCTTTCAGAGAAACGGCTATGTTTCACTGAGGGTTAATCCAGCCTCTGGTGGCTGTCTCATTGACAGCCGCTAGAGGAGCTTCCATGATTCTCACTGTGAAAATCACAGAGGGAAGACACTGAACGTCCATAGGAAAGCATTGAGTAATGATTTCCTATGGGCGGTTTAAATGCGCACGCCTCTTGCCACGCATGTGCATTCGGAGCTGAGAGGCGGAGGGACCCCAGCGCCAAGGGAGTCCGACGCTGGAGAAAGGTAAATGCTGAAGACACACACTCTCACGAACAGACGCATACACAGTAGCTAACAGACACACATTTACTGACAGACACACACTCAGCGACAGACATACACACTCACTTACAAAACATACACTTTCACTGACAAACACACACTCACTGACATCAAACACACACAGTAACAGACACACACAAATTTTTTTTTTATTTTTTTTAATTTAATCCCCCCAACCTCCTTACCTTTTGGAGAGCTGAGGGGATTCCCTGGGGTAAAGTGGTGCTGCTGGGCGGGCTGGCTGTCTGGGTGACCGGTGCACGAGGGAGCACTCTCCTCTGAGTGCTTCCTCTTCAGCTCCCTTGCGCGCCGCATAGCCAGCGCGCCGCACAGCCAGCCCGGGTCAGCAGGGCCAGCCTGGGGGGGGCCCTGAGGTGGCCGCCTCCTGGGCCCCCCAGGAGAAGAGGCTGGCCCTGTGGGTACACACCGGGTCGCAGGGGCAGCCGCGACCCCCTGCGACCCTGGTATGTACGCCACTGCTGAAGGCATATTTGGCAAAGTGCACAAGGATAGAGGATTAAAACAATTTTTTAAAAACACCACACATTTAAAATAGTCTTTATAATAGGAATGCAAAACAAACAGTAGCATTTAAATTTATAGCTATTATTGAGAGGAACAATGCTTCCTGACTGGTATCATACCTAACAAACCTTTTGTTGGAAGGAATGATGATGATGTATCAGAGACTGGCTGAATCTATCATTATCAAGTTTTTAAAAAAATCAATAATTTTCCAGACGCACATTATGGAGGTTCTTTCTTCAGGGGGGACATTAACCTTGATTTAAAATATATTTAACTTTGTTTAGAACCACCCCTTTCCCATCCTGGTGAAAATTATTTCTATACTATGAAGCGTCTATTCACAAACGATCCTGATGGTAGTCAGATTTAAAAAAACAAACAAAAAATGTAATGGGAGAGGAACTGTTAAAAAGCAAAAATATTTCAGTGCAGGGGATATTCGAATCGCTGGGAGGTTTGCAGAATTTCTACAAGAACAGAGATAGCAATCAGTGCATGAACCATTTAAATAGACCAACCTGTGATGCTGTCAGGAAATCCCAGAATGCCTACACAGGTGGGCAGTGCAGAGAACAAATTTACACTCAAACCATAGTCAGTCTATATTTACAGCTATTGCTTTTGTCTCTTATTGCAAATCTTATTCTACAATACAATTCTCATAGGTTACAGGTGGTCCTATACACAGGCTAAGTTACAATGTGCTGCTAAATTTCTGACTTGAGCAGGATCACTACTACAACCTTCCCTGGTCAGATATAGTTAAAGTATTAGTCATCTCCTCTAACTGCATGGCAGTCCGTTTAGAATGATATTACATGGAGAACTCATTTATATCGTAACCCATTGTTGGGTCGGAAGGGAGGGAGAGGTATCAGATTTACCACAAAACAGGCAACATGGGGCCTTGAGCCAATAGCAGTCATACTAATATGAAGGGTAGATAAATCTACTTTAAAACTGAGCTATCTTAATTAAAAAAATAAATATTTTTTTTTAAAAACACCATATCAGGAATTATTGTAACTCCTCTCGCAACCTGAGAATAATTATTTACACTGTATATACATTGTAATACTTGTAAATACCTAATTGCTGCTTCAACATTCTAGTTATGACAGAATTTCCCCATCTCATTGGAGGAACCTCTTTTGTCCTTTTTTTAAATTAAGCAAAATTCAGAGCAGAAGCAGATACTGTTCTGCCTGAACCTTTTTGCTGTGGGGTAATCATTTCTAAGCCCCTGAAACATCTAATAGTGCCAGGTCTCTGAGCTCCTCCAGCATAGTGTACAGACTACGGCCCTGTGTTTGACGGTACTCCCGATTCTGTACGTCCAACTTTTGTGCTTCAGCCTCTTCGTCTGCCAGCTGAGCCTCCAACACAGTTTGTGTAACTTCCTTCACTAAATCAGTTTTTACATGCAGATTGTTAGAGGTTAAAGGCAGGCCTGCTGGATCAACATGGGGTTTGTTGCTGATTATTTCTAAACGAATGTTATCTGGGTGGAAACGAGCAGTTTGAATTCTGACACGCACCTGGGGAGAAAAGAAATATCTCATTTAGAAAACGTATATATTTTTCTATATATTTTTTCCTAATCAGTATCATGCAAAATTGCCAGGCAACTTAAGGTAAGGTGCAGAACATATTTTATGTATTTATTTTTAGACATTAAAAGACAGCACAATGATACAGTTATCCAATAATAAACAAAATAACAAAAGAAAGCTTCTTGAAAGTATTTTGTGTCCCTTCTACTAAAATAGAAACCTGAAGCAGTTTGTTTAGATAAAGCAAAATGTGGCTCCAGGTTGCAAATATGCTCAAGGAAGCAAGGTGAAAGGTTAGGGGTAGGACCCACCTGGGAGGTTTGCCTTGACGTGGCAGGTGGGCTGAATTCTCTCATGGCATTTGGAGCAACTAAATAACTTCTATTTGTTTAAATATACAAAGGAATTTGGGAAGAGCACAGGTAACTTTTTCTTTGGTTTTTACTGCATGTATTGGGGCTGATGTGTACTATGGGCATTGCCGACGCCCAGGAGTGATGGGAGTTTGAGCGCAGGATTTTTTTTTTGTATTTTTACATTTTGCAGATTGTACATTGTGGGATCTTGTATATGCGTGTATGTATTTACAGACTTAAAAACCATGCAGCATACTCACAGTCACATGGTCAAAAAGGCAAAAGGAGGTGGACTTTCCAGTTTGTGCACTGACTGTGATTCGGTCTGAGAGGCGTTGCAAATGTCCAGATGTCCAGTGACAGTTTCCATCTTCGTTGCTAGAGAGCACCAGGCCTTCAGTATTCTTCATGTATGCTGCACCTTTTATACCATACCTAAATAGCACATAAACAGGAAAGAACACATTAAAAACATCCACTCTTATATCAACAGTTATTGGCTTAGCTTCATATTTATTGGATTGTGGAGGTGATTTGTTAAATAAAATGACTGGAAAAGTACCAATATCCTACCACGAGTACCTATTTTCTGCAATCTGTGGGTAACTGCACCAAAAAAAAAAAAAAAAGTAAATCCTTGGCCACGATTTAAAAAGCTTTCCAAATGATTCAATACTGCTCGCAAAAAACTTTCCAAATTATGTACAGAAGGCATCATTAAAGTCTATAGGCATTTCTGTAGGTAAATCATTAAAAAAAAAAAGCTTTTCTATCAGGATTTGAAAAGCTTATTACATTTTGACATTTAAATGTAAAGCAAATCCTAGAAATAAAGCATACTTTGAATTAGTCAAAATACCAGAGTCCCCGTTGGTAAGAATCAGGCAAGTCTTTCTGATGAATGCAATAATGTCACCACAGGTGACTTTGTGCAGTCAAGAATTGGCTGAAGCTTTGTGATGAATGATTTCTCAAGTGTAAGTCCTTGTACCATTTGTTCGAATGCCATTGTGGGCTGGACTAGGTCAGTCATACACCCACAGAAAGTGCTCATTGTCCAGGGAGCGCTAGTCCTTACAAGGACTTTCTCCACTGGAACAGTGATTAAGGAGTACCCCTTTCCCCTCCCAGTAACCAGAAGACACATAGGTCTGGGAGTACAAGCTGGAATGTTTAATCCAGGCCAAGTGGCCTCCTTTTATGCACCATGCACAGCAATAATTACATTATGTAGAACACACCCACAATACACAGTCTCCCTTCAGGTTCATATATAAACTCCTCCCCTTAATTCCTGTAGCGGAGAGATAATTGAGTCTAAAGGACCTTACTTTGGGAGGCGGAGCTTAACCACCGAGCCGTATGGACGCCATCTCTCAGAGCTCCCCTGGGTCATCGGCAAATCTAAAGCCAACCAGGGCCACACTGAGTCCCAGTCAGGCGGGAAAAACACCCAAACCTCCCAGTCACAAGGGGACACCCACTGATGCCCTTATTTGTCCAAAAGGGCAGAAAAACCCGCGTCAAGAGTCAGGCCTACCTTGCCCCATCACCAATAGAGGCCTCGCGGCTATCCTTGCAGCTGCTCCAAGTTCTTGGGTACCAGACACCGCCCACAAACAAGCAGTCGTTACCTCTCGACGAAGAAACGCGACGCGAAACCCCAAAACAGCCAGCGGGAGCACCCAAAGACATCCGAGACATCGGGACTCTGCTCCAGCGACCCACAAAATGGCGGCGGAGCCTGACCCGGACACGGGCTCTAACTGCTCAGCGATGAGCCCGGAGGACCAGGGGTAACATCAACAACCCCAATCACAACACACTCTACAAGGTGAGGGTGATGACATGGCCCCGGCCACAAAGCGCGACATCAGGCAGCTCTTACAAGAGGTAAAGCAAATGTATGAAGCAGACAAACAAGGCCCGCACAGATATACAAGCTGTGACCACAAGAGTCCAGGCCGCAGAAGACAACATCATAGACTTACACCAGGAGGTGAAGGACATAGGGGACACCCTTCGCCAACTGCAATATACAAACATAGCAGTCCAAACAAAAATGGACACCATAGAGGAACGTAGCAGACAGAAAAATCCGGGGAATTCCAGACACTGTCGGCACAACCAAACTACCGCACTACTTAAGAAGACTCACTGCTGAACTCCTGCCACACACGCAAGCCAAAAAGATGGAATTTGACGGACAATTCCGAATCAACAAAGCCAAGCAGGTACCCTAACAGCCCCAAGGGATGTCATGGTGAGATGCCACTCTCTACTGGACAAATGCCGCTTACTAGCAGCAGTACGGGACAAGACCACATACACATTTGAATCCTCCCAGCTTACCTTTTTTCATTAACCCGTAACACACTACTATGGAGAAAAATGCTCACGCCAATTACCACCCTCCTCCGCACAGCGAAAGTGGATTACAGATGGCTCCTGCCTAGGGCCCTAGCGGTCACCCGGGACAATACCATCCTGAAACTCACCTCGGTATCGGAGGCCTCATCCTTCCTTCAGTCGCTGGGCATTGCACAGGGGGCTATGACCCCTTCTAATCAACCACTACTACACACTTGGGACCCTGGCAGGACTGTCCCATTCGTCCCACGAAGAAACAAGGGAAAGGAGGCAGTCACATGAATCGTGTGCCAGCAACGGTGTCCTCTTATGCCTAATTCTCTTGTATATGTTCTATGCATATGATGTATAATTTTTTTTTTTTGGCGTGTCGTGACATTGCACTGTGGCTTATAGATATGCATAACTTAGTACATACACTCATACTGTTGAGTACATATTTACAACGTAAAATGCGTTTCTTACAATATTATGTTCGTTATCTCAAGCTTCGGTGTACTGTTGTTGGCGACACATTTTAACCAATAAACAGTGAACGATTAACCAGGCAGGAGAATGGAGACCTTGGTATAGTGCTTCGTCTGTTTTGATCGCCCTCCGCTCATGGCGAGTGGCATCGTATCATGGTCTTCAATTCTCCCAATATCACATGAGAAAAAGGAGTGTCGGATAGAGAAGAGAGAATGGGGGCGGGGAAAGGGGAGCGGAGATCGGAGCTCCGTCCGGCTTACGTTCGGGGTTAGTTAGTAATGGCGGTGTTCCCTTTCCTGATCTAGACTCCGTCCTCTCTGTTGCTGACCTTCCAGGGTTCCCAGACCTTTTCATATGCCTTCATGATGCCCCTCACCAGTGCCGTGAGGTGGATCTCTCTTATTTTGTCTATCACCATATGGATCTGGGGGATTTCCGGTTTGAGCCATGCCTGTGCCATGGCGAGTCTAGCTGCTAAGGTGATTTTGCGTAGGGGTTTTTGGTTCTTTCCTGGCCATTCATCGATTGGCCTGGATAGAAGGCACACCCATGGATCTATGCCCACCCTTCTCTGGAACACTTTGTCTAATAGGCTCCCTACTTCTTGCCAGAAGGCCTGGGCCTTCGGGCAGTCCCACCACATGTGCTTATACATCCCTTTGTGTCCGCAGCCCTTCCAGCACAGATCGTTGGGGGTTTTGCGCATGTGGTACAGCTTCACTGGGGTGGTATACCATCTGAACATGGTTTTGTATGCCTGCTCCTGCTGTGTGACACATATTGAGCTGGCCTTGTTTGCACCCCAGATTTCTCTCCAGTCTGTGCCCTCCAAGACCTCTCCCAGATCTGATTCCCATTGAGTCGTGTAATGTAAGTGCCCCCAGTCAGTGTTATTGGACCTAAGGTGTGCGTAGAGAGTCATGATGAGCCCTTTCGGGGGGTTTTCTCAAAGCCCGTTGGTTTAGTTAGTGCTGCCGTTTTCGCTAGGTTGTGTTGTGCGAAATCCCTGATCTGGATGTATCGGAAGAAATCTGAGGGTTGTAGCCTGGTCCTTTCGGCCAGGGTTTCGAATATTAGTACCTGGTGGCCCTCGTACAGAAGGATCGCTCTTTGTAGGCCCGTCCCCTCTATGTTTGTGAAGTCTTTGGCTCGCATTCCTGGTGGGAATGCCCTGTTTCTCAGGACTGGCATCATTGGGGAGGGTGATGTCAGTTTATATTTTAAGGCTGTGGCGTCCCAGACCCGTATAGAGTTTAGGATTGCTGGGCATTGGGTGTGTTGTAGGGCTCTGTGTTCTTTCGGTAGCCATATATAAAATTGGGGTAGGTCTGCTCCCATAATGCCGGCCTCCAGGTCTGCCCATCTGCGGACTCCTGGTGTCAAATGCCACATGGCTATCTGAGCTATCTGGGCCGCGAGGTAGTAGTTGTGTAGATGGGGCAGGCCCAGTCCTCCCCCATCTTTGGGCCAATAAAGAATGTTCCGGAAAACGACATTGTTTGTGTTGCCATATGAAGTCTCCTATTGTCTTTTGTAGGGGGGCTAGGTCAGATTTTGTGACAGGTATTGTGTTATGTATAATTTAAATTAATCTGTTATACGCAAGTTACTCCAATTATAATCCTCACCTCTTTTACTAACGCCTCCAGCCCGAGCATGCTAAAGGTCTCCTGATCAGACGTGGGTGGGTCGAGACAACCCGCATGCCAACACACACACACATAGCAACCCAAGCCCCTCACACCCCCCCCCCCGAACCACATATTTACAATCAGGCCGCACAAGAACGCAGGGTGATACTTACTTGCACCACCTACACAATAAGACATTGCTCAACCCACGAGCAAGCCATACCTAGCCTGACAACTATAACAGAGTCTAACCTGAAATTCTGACTCCGGACTGTTCGTCTATACTATATAAATAAGTGCATTGTTTTTCTGATTACTGTTCTAATAATATGTCCTGCAACCATTATCGGTTTCTCGCAATCTACCACAAGCTGACATGTATACCCTTGATATGCACTGCAAAAATAAAGAATTATAAAAAAAAAAAAAAGAAGTTTACGTTTCGACAAGCATCTAGACACGGTAACCTAACTTCTTATTCTTGTTTTTTCCTTTGTCGTTAAGGTTACAAAAAGTGCACTATTCATGACATGTTAAGCAACTTACATGTGATTTAACCTGTATTATATCATCTTGCTGATAGGACAGTATATACATGTCTGTTCACCATTGCACTACCAAAAATAAAGAATATAAAATAAAAAATAAAGGACCTTACTTTGATTATCTCTCAGTTACAGGAAAATATACACAAAATCATCAAAACACCCAAAAACATAATAAAAATACATAACCACACACACACACACACACACACACACACTACACATCCTCAAACACCCCTGATCCGAGCACCCAAGTTGTGCAAATTGCACTCAGATCCATGCTGTACAGGGGAATCGCCACAGTGTTAAAGTTCTGACCGGCCGCACACGTGGTCCTATGCTCAAAACAGTTCCAGATCATTTGGTGCTTTTGCCGGTCAACTTTCCGGGGCACCAGCGGACAAACTACAGAGCGTTCCCCCTGGATCGCAAGCAGCGTTTGTTCCCCCATAGTCTCAGGCACCTTCCATCCAAAAAGTGCTCTCCTGGCCATTTTCAAAGTGGTCCAAAACGCAGGACCAAGTTGACCGGTAACTGCACAGTCCCCTAGTCGCAAATAGTTCCATAGAATCGCGGCTAAGTGTCGCTGGGGACCAACCGGGAACAGCAAAGTCCTCATGCAAAAATAGTTCCAAGGCATTCGCTGCTAAGTCCCCCTGAAGTCTATTCGCGGCTTTGGTCCATGCGAACGGCCGCCAGGGAGCTAGCGTTTGTTCTATGCGCACAAATGGAAAGTGCCAAACCAGGGGGAATAAAAATATGGGTCTTTACAGTCGCTGGCCCATAGTCGGTGGGAAGGAGGCCAGCTTCCACACTCCTCCAGGAGTTGTCACAGCATGGAACTTGCATCTTTTGAATTTTATTTTAGATAGACATAATCGCCAAGTGGCGGTCACATCCCCATCAAGTGTTCTTACTCATTTAATTGTTACAAGCTAAATATTACTGGAGATCATTTCTGGACCCTCGTCTTCCATTGATAAACACTATAGGTTGAAAAATTGAGGGGACATATGGGGGTTATGGCTTTTTTTTCCCCCCTGTCCTCATTCACACAAAGTATTTTCTTTGCCAGGGAATATAATGTTATATTTACCTGCATATATGTTTGTTTAAAGTTTCTTTTGGTTGTATCGACTGACATATAGGAATGTGGTAGGCCTCACACATTATTAAAAGACAATATGCATGCGTAGTTGGCATCTATTTGGGGATTTATACAGTTTGTATAATTTGTGTACTGTGTTGTGTATACTTTTGGAATATGAATTACATAAAGGATAAAACATGTTGTAGTTTATGTGTACTCCTCCAATTTGTTACATTAGATAAGTCTATAAGAAGCAGAAGGACCATGGCAAGGACACAGAACACCGTTATACCTGGGCAAGAAGAGGAGCACACCATTAGTTCGAATGGCATATATTATAGCATCACAGGTGCAGCGTAGGTCACGGTCTGGATCCTTGTCTTTAAAGAACATGCATTGGAAGAGTTCGACAGACTGCTTCTGGCACTGTTGGGCTGCCTGCAGGAATAAAAAAAAATAAAAAAAAATGGATTTACTCCAGTCAACAAGACACACTTTGCCTTAAAACACCAACTTGGAGAAAATGAATGAGAAAGGCTTGAAATCCCTAAAAACAAAAGCATCAACAATGAAAACCGAGTTAACTTTCATATACATCAAAGCTCTGCTATTCCCTAATTGAAATTAGGCAGCACTTACTACAGGCACTAATACATATATACATAGAAAACCCCCCACAAGCCACCAACCAGCACTATAAGAAACATCAAAACATTCCTAAAAAAAAAACAATATATACACAAAAGTACAACATTTCATTTAAGGGAGGGAAAGACAGACATAGTATCGGTAATCCTATGAAAAGGAAATTTACAGTAATTAACATGTAGGTATTTTTTCACAAATGTGTACAATTATTGACAGTATGAACCTATGGGACATAGCAAGATAACAAGATGGGAGAATCTAAGTCATGCAGTGACAGCCTGCAGCGCCTTATAACGGAAAACCACATCCTGGAAGGTTCATATGTCCATATTGTGTTTTATAAATGTGTGATGAGAGGGCCATGTTTTGGACTTTAAAATCTGCTTCATAGAGGCTTGTGCTTGAGAATAATCCAAAACATGATCTCTTGGATCTGGTGCCTCCCTGTCATTCAGATAAGCCTTTGTGGTGGTGGTGTCTATTCTGATTACCATGATGTATTTTCTTAAATGGATTTGGAAAGCTTTCAGAGATTTCAGTACAGATCAACTCAGAATTTGGTAGACCTGCTACTTTACTACTGGTTCCACAATAATTTTGATATAAAAGTCTAAAGATGTCCACCTTTAACCTTTTCCTGAAACACCTGTAGCAACTATGAGAACTGCTATGAAGGAGATTCCACTTAAAGGGACACCCCTCCCCTGCCAGTTTCTGTCAGCCAACCTCCTTACCCAGTGTTAACCCCTTCCCTGTCAGCCAACCTCCCTACCCAGTGTGAACCCCTTCCCTGTCAGCCAACCTCCCTACCCAGTGTGAACCCCTTCCCTGTCAGCCAACCTCCCTACCCAGTGTGAACCCCTTCCCTGTCAGCCAACCTCCCTACCCACTATTAACCCCTTCCCCTTCAGCCACTGTTAATCAGCCTCCCGAGAGACAGAGAGATGGAGATAACACAAAGCTCTATAGATACGTATGAGTGTGTCTGTCTCCTTATATTTATATATAATAATCATATGACACTATATGATCTCTAATGTGGTGAGGAAATGTTTGTGTGTGATGTGGTGTGTAAGTTCTAGTGTCTGAATTTGGAGGACTCCGAGGAGGTGTGGCCAGGCATTGTGGGAATGTGTTGAGCTGAAGCTCAGGCACACCCATTAAGGTGCGTCATTACTGATACTCATAGCAGGGGTGTCCAAACTTTTTTCAAAGAGAGACAGATTTGATTAAGTAAACATGCGTGAGGGCCAACCATTTGCCTGACATTCTTTGAACCTTATAATTAAATGCAAATTAACTATTTTATGCAAAGTTTATTGCGAACGGCATACTTAAAAAAAAGGTTGTCTGTCAACTTTTAAGTGAAAAAAAATATGAACAGGAACCTAACACCAAGTATACATGTTGTGTCCAAATATATGTATAACTGATTTAGGCCAACTGACATTAACTGAGATTTTACAATGTATTCATCTCAATAATAAAAAAATAAAAAAAATTAACTTGCCAGCACTAATGTGAAGGGTGAAACTGAGATCTGGGCTGCAGCACATAGGCTAGGTCTAATTCAAAGGTAGTGGATGTGCAAAATGTCACGCAGGTGAGAGTCATTTAGTCTTGTCCTCACGCGGTTCTTGTTAAGGTTCATAGCAGAGAATGTCTTCTCACACAAATATGTTGAGCCAAACAAGCTCATCATTTTCTTAGCCAATGTTCGAATCTCTTGAAACTGGCTCTTATCCAGTTGGCGGTAAAAGTTCACAAGAGCGAGCTGTTGGTGACAACTGCGTAACTTGTCACAATGCAGCTCAATGAGCATCATTGGGGTCAACAGAGAATGGAGAGGAGAAAAGTCTGATCTTTTCAATAGCAAAAAAACTCCCCAGCCAGAGACGCGACGTCTGTTGCATACGGATATTGTCCTGTGAAAACTGTTCATTTCCTGCAACACTGAAAAATGTATGGTATTGGGCTCTGTTTGTGACAACTACCGTAGGAAAAGTTGCAGCTTTGTTCCAAAGGCTTTGAGGTGTGAATAAAGCTGGTTCACCGCTGCATCTTTCCCCTGGAGACTCGTGTTCAGTACATTCAGATGCTTTGTTAGGTCAACTAGAAACCCCAAATAAGCCAGGCAAATAGGATCAGATAGTTCTTGCACTGGTTGTCCCTTTGTTTCCAAAATTCTCAGATTTCCTTTCGGAGAGAGTAGAAACGCTGCAGTGCAGACCCACGACTGAGCCATCTTACATCGTTGTGATATAAAACATCTTCGTATTCAGCCTGAATATCCAGAAGAAACTGTTTAAACTGGCGGTGGCACAGGGCTTTTGCACCGGTTTAATAACATGATCATATCTGAATGGTTTAGCACAGAGAACTTGTTGATGAATGATACAATGGAGTTTAATAGCTTTGCTTCCTTCTTCGATCACCTTGTTACAGATTAGGGTTGATAATCCACTTCGTTCACCAGCCCTGGTAGGTGCCCCATCAGTAGTAATCCCAGTAACTTTGTTCCAAGGCAGTTTCGTTTCATCTATAACAAACAAATATTTTCCTAATTCTTCAGTCACATTCATTTCATCGTCCACCCCTCTCATAAAAATCTGAGCTGTGTCAGACAGGTCCGTGCTTTCATCACAGGCAATTGAAAAGAAGTCAAAATCCTTTGGCCGTTTTCAATTCTCCGTGCTACAGTGTTAAAAGCCAAGCAAATGTTGGCAAACTCTTGCTTCTTATCAGGACAGATATTTGCAACCATTTTCGTAATGCATTCTTTGATAAACGCACCCTCTGCAAAAGATTGCAATTTTTACCAATTAACGTTGCCACCTCATAGCTCGCCCCTGTGGCATTTTCATTTGACTCACGGTTGTGACGTTAAAACAGCTTCAAGTTGCTAACACTTTTCACTGCGGTCACGCCCTGTTTGTTGTATGTGCTATGTCTTGACTGGTAGTGTCTCTTGACATTAAATTCCTTTTAAACAGCTAGTCTCTTGGCATATCACACAAACACAGTGATTCTGTATTTCAGTGAAGAAATATTCCACTTTTCACCTGCCCTGGAAGCGGTGGCCCTCCCTGTCAACTTTCCTTCTCTTATTTACAGTCACCATTTTAGAAATTGGCCAGAAGAGAAAGGGATCATGTGAGCGCAGTGCCAGAGGTTTTGGTCTACGTGTATTTGCCCAAGCCCCAATTATACTAAGCGTGTGCGCCCGAGCATTAATACACAGTCAAACAAGAATTCGCCAGAGATCTCTTCCAAACGAAGTTAAGCTGTAATGTACAGTGCTAAATGGGTTAGTGTCTTGTAGCCTCATGTAATAAACTTTGATCTTTTTTACTTTTAACCCTTTGCGCCCTTCTGGACTATCGTCTATTGTCCCCTGTCCTGAATAAAAGCAAGTGCAAATTATCTTCAGTTGCAGCAGAGATGAATTGCCTGCCTTTGTGGGTGTGTGTGGTGAAGAGACAGCGCAAGAGAGAAGGAACGCACCAAATCCCGAGACGTCCGAGTGATCGCAAGGACACAGACTGAGGACGTGCAGTCCTGTGCGTTGAAAGATCTAGAGATCCCAGGGGTCCTGAGCTTTTATATATAAAAAGAGTACCCTGGTATTGCTATGTCCCAGTTATTTTTCTCATTATACCATGTCTCAGTAACTGTGACTAAATCTACATTCTCATTGCCATTATTGCCACAAGTTCATGGATCTTGTTTCCTAAACTGTGAGTATTTGTAAACATAAATCTAAGCTTATCATTTTTTAACACATTCTGTCCTTGTTTTGGGGGGGCAATTGGATTGATCTTTTATTACCCTTTTGCCCCCCCCCTCATAGTTTAAATACTTCCTAACAAAACCTCTGAACTGCTCACTGAGAACATTTGTTCCCTTTTGAGAAATATGCAAACCATCTTTTTTTGTACAGTATAGTTCCATTCCAAACAGAGCTACCATGAGAAATAAAGCCAAATCCTTGCTCCCGACACCATTCATCAAGCCACAAGTTAAAGTCCCTAATACGCATCTGCCTGTCATTCTGAGTGTTATGCACAGACAGAACTTCAGAGAATGAGTGTGGAAGCAACCTGCTGTATATCATTGGCAAAAAAAAAACAAAAAAAAAAACCTTCCTTTACCTCTGAAACCTCATTGCAAGCCAAGTAATTTGTCCCTAGATGGACAAGTACATCCAATTCCCATTCCTGCTTTGCTCGCTTAACAATATTACAAATAAGTCTCCTGTAGCTCCGGGAAGACATCTCACAAGACCACTATTGTCCAGCTCCACACCTCTTATGATAGAATTCCCCAACAATTGCTTTCTATTAGGCTTCACCATAGTCTTGGTGCCAGAGCCTGTCTCCACACCACCACTACACTCTGTGCCAGAGCCTGTCTCCACACCACCACTACACTCAGTGCCAGAGCCTGTCTCCATAACAGTTAAAACAATAGTGCTAAAAATTAATTACATAGAACAACAGACTGTGCAATATGCCTTTTATCTACAACTCTAAGTCTACCAGATCCTACAGTAATCCATCTGCTATCCCCAGTACATCTCTGCAGCAGTGGCTTTGCAACAGTTCCAGCCTGAGTTTGTTTCCCAGATAATTTACAGATCTCAAACTTCAAAAATAAAATCTCCTGTCGCAATATAGAGAACTGTCTACAGATTATACAGCATCCAAATCTCCAAAGAGCAGAAGCTATCTTGATTCCCAACTGAAAATATGTTGTTTAAATTTTTAGTGTAAAAGATACGTTTTTATGGCACCTTTCATTTCCTTTGCATAATAACCTTAAATACTGGTTGAAAAGGAAAACACATGATTTTCTTATGCTTTTGTGAAAGTTCTTATTCTTCCATAAGAAATTAAAGCTTCTTCCTTAATTAAATAATGAAATCTGTTCATCACAAAAAAATTTTATTCAGAAAAGCTTAAAGTAGAACCCTGTTCAGCAGAGGAGTCAGGGTGTTGAGAGTCATCTTTTTTTGGTTAAGATGAAAGGTTTAGATCAGGAAACTCAAACCTTGCCCCCTAGATGTTTATGGCGTATAACACCAAAATCTTTTGACTGTCCTAGATTAACAGAGATGTATGGGAGTTCTAGTTCAGCAACATCTGATGGGTTAGATTTTTTTAGGAAAAAATACTTACCCTGCAGTGTAGGCACACTTCAGGTAATTAGACACACACCCTACAGCTTATTTCGCTGTCTGAGCATTTAACTTTGAAAACTGGTGCCAGCAACTCCAGTAAGAGCTTTTTCGCATGAGTACAGTGCACCCCCCTTGCATCAGAATGCAGAGCAGCTCCTGCATTAGTTCCAGCACTGCCCAAATCAAGTTATAATCTAGCTCTCCCTTTATTTCTGGCACTCTGAACAAAACAGGACCAGTGGTCCACGAGGCAGCTAAAGCAAACCAACCACCAATCCGGAATAAAAAAAAACCCAAAAAAAACAAACACACAAGTGATATCTAAAGACAACCTGATCGGAACAAGAACAGACAGATGGGAAATTCTGAGTTTTGGGTTTTCTTAAAGTGCTGGTGAGGGACCTTTGGGAATGTTCCCTGTATATGTTTAATGCTCTCATTGAGTGCTGCCATTCCAGTGTAGGAGTGGAGGCAAAAAAAGGGTATAGTTTCCTGAAGAAGAAACACAGTTAAATGTAAACACAAATATCACCTCATGTCATACATGCATGAATAAAAATAATCATGCATGGTCTTCAACAAAGTGCACTTACACGATTGCGAGCATTGATATGACGGCAGAGCTCGTCAAGATCCTTGTTCCCAAGCAAATGACCTTTTGAGCCACTGTTGATGGCTGCTAGAAGCAGTCTGTGCACCACGATATCCGCATATCGACGGATCGGAGAAGTGAAATGTGTGTATTTATCCAGAGCAAGACCTAGTAGAGAGCAAAACAGCCATTCATTCTTACATACAGTCATACCAAAATACCACTAGTTTTACAAAGCATGATTTGGGGATTCCAAATGTAACTATTATGATTTTATTCTAATGGAGAACCAAAGTCACTAGATAATACTCCTGTGACAAACCTATTAGGAGGCCTGGACCCCTACACTTATGTCACATATTACCGAAACCATGTTAAACTCAATTAGTGGGTTCATTCTTGCTAATAGATTTTCCAGTAATTGGTATAAAATAAAAATTTTTAAAAAAAGTGAGCTGCTTCAGGGATCATAGGGTTATATATCCTTTATTTTGACAACATTATGTACTTTGGATGTAAAGTCTGAACATAAAATCTGCAGTAACCATAGTTATACTCAAATGCATCTCCAATATTACAGCACTCACCATAGTGATAAAACCCATCCTCTGTGTATGAGCCAGTGGAGAAGTACTGAGCGTTAGACATAGCCTGTGTTGCCATTGCCCGCAGCAATCTGTTAACTAAAGGGTCGGCGGGGTCATTGGCTTTATCAAGGGAATCAGCCAAAGCCTTATTTGACCTGCATACAGGAAGACAAAAAAAAAAATATGTAATTGCATAATACAATCCATTACTGCTACCCAGTCAAAAAGCTGTTCTACATCACAAAAAAATAATCTCTAATTATCGTGGGAATATTTATGGAACATTTTAGTAAAAGGTCTGGAGAAATTAAATAACTTTCTAGAACTCTATTGTATTCATGAACACATAAAATCAAGCAAACTGCAGCTGGAAATTTAGGCAATAGGCATCAAAGCTTTTAATAAAAACTATGAATTTGTTAACAAAAAAACAAACAAAAAAAAAAAACTTAAACAGATAAACTGGCAACAGATAAACTGGCAAAATAGGGATCTGACCAAGTAATGTAACAATATTTCAGACATCTCACCTTGTGTCCATGATAAACCCACGTGCTTGTGCGCACTCTTTTAGCTCCTTGAAGAATTCTTGGCGCGGAGGTGGGTGCAAACGCAATAATGCCTGCTGGGGGTAACTCTCCCAAATTTTCTTGGCAACCCAGTGATTGGCCAGGATCATGCATTCTGCAATTGTCTCATGCACTTGAAGGGGCTGTTTAGGAATCAGATCATCAATACTGTGCTCCTCCCCAAGTTGGACCTGTACCTCAACTCCTTCCAACTCTAGAGCTCCACTTATGTCTCTCCGGAATCTTGCAGCTTGTGCTACCTCTGTTAGCTTGCGCAGTGCCCACAACAGCTGCTCCAGACGTGCAGGGTTCTGAGAAAGAGGCTGAAGCTCAGAATCGGTGTTCAGAGGTTCAAGGTCACCATTCAGCAGCTGCTGAGCCACCTCATAACTAAGCTTATAGGATGAGCGGATGATGGTCCTACCGTACCACACTCTCCGGATCTCATAGGTTTTACTGTCCAGTTCCCAGATAACACTGACTGCGTATCTGCCAAAAAAATTTTTGAAAAAGTAATTATAAAATATAATAATGCAGTACTGCAATAATGTTAATGCAACACTAGAATGAATTGTGACATTTTGTATTACTATGTTCCTTATGTTTTGCTGCAGAAAATAAATACATAAATAAAAATAAGAAAAAACAAAACAGAACTACCTACCTGTCTACACCTCCCAGAAGAGAGCAGAGGTCTGCGCTTAGGATTGGTGGTAGCATGTCATAGCGTCTGTCTGCAAGGTAATATGTGGTAGCTCTGTATACGGATAGAAGTTCAAATGTAAATGACCAAAAAGAAGTTCAGGGTCAGTGTTTATTACAGATTATAAATAAATTACATGAAAAATTAATCAAAAAATTATGGAATTTGGACATTTACCAAACCGTGAACACGCTATGGCATACATACATCTTTGCCCCAACCTTTTACACTTATACGTACAGCAGCCCGAAACACACATAACAAATCCAGCTAAAAGTTGTGAAGTTGTTGAAAACAACGAATAAACATGTTAATAAAAGCTGTCCGACAGCTTCAACAAACATCTAAGAAAGATGAATCTCTCAAGGTGCTCTTATTTACAGGGATACATCAGCGTTACATATAAAAACCTTTACTTGTAATGCTGGAGATTTTAAAGTCTATTTAGATTATTGTGCCCCCTTGCATCCTCCCCTACAATAAAAAGCAAAAAAAATTTAATCCTATATACGCCAGGTGAACATTTTTTACTCAACTTTTTCTTCAGTGGGGAGTCATCTCTCGTTACTAACCACAGTATCCCTTTCCTGTCGAGATGGAATTAGAGCATTTCCGGTCGTTGCCACAAATGCAATCAAATGTGGTGATTTCCCAATATCGGAAAGCATAAGACTGATTGTTCAAGTGGAGTGAGTCAGACTGTCAGCTTGACTGCCAGGGAGACATTGCAAAATTAATTCATAAAAGTGTTGTCTTCAAAAATCTGCACTTTTATGAATTGGAACAAGAGGGGCATGCAGCTAACACCTACACCACTTCAGCTTTAGGGGCCTATAGTGATCATCGCTCAGCCAAAAGACTGCTTCTCACAGATAAGCACTGTGAGTTGGGGTACATGTGTGGCAACTGCCATGCTGCACCAGCAATACTAGTTCAATTACGCAAACTGAAGTGCTTTAGCGGTTTGAAGTGTTACTTTAAATGGACATAACTCAAAGGGACACTGAGCACCAACACTACTTTTGCTACATGAAGCAGTCAGTTGTGGTATTTAGAATATGCCACTGCAGAATGTTTAAATCTCTGCCAATTTGTATATACAGTCTGAGAGTCACACCTTCTCTATTGTGACACAGAATCCACGAGAAGATGGTTCATTATTACAGCACAGTGTTTTTATTTTTGAAGTTATGATCTCCTGCTTTGTTGATGGAACTTAAAATCACACACAGGAGGCTGCTGTAGGATATAGCTGGTAATCAGCAGAGCAATGCAGTCATGAATTGGGTAGTGACCCTGCAGTGGCATGATCTATACACCAAAAGCACCTCACAAAGCTAGGGTATTTTGGTGCTTTAACAGAAACTAGGGGAGTTGGAGAGGGATTGTGGCTCAAGTAAGTGGATTTGCACAAACAGTGGAAAAAATTTAAACATTAGGGAGTAACATGGCTGTATATATAATCTGTAATACATTTTAAATAAATAAAATTCCAAGCCTACAACTTTCCCTCAAAATATTTAATAGCAAAACATTTTAGATTACAAGACAAAAATGTCAAAGGTTTGCAAGATGCTTCACATACAGATATATGGTAGAAGACTCTGAAGACCGCATTTGTAACAAGATGTCTCCATTACCTAGCTCGAGCCTCTGTGTCAGTGTAGGAATTAGCCTGTACAAAATGTGTGACATCAGCAATGTGCACACCCAGCTCCAAGTACCCAGTAGGAAGAGCTCGAATAGAAAGTGTATCGTCCACATCTTCACAGCCCTGTGGGTCAATACTGAAAACCAGATGAGTCCTACGCAGGTCCAAACGTCCACTGAAATTCTCATCAACTCTCCAAGGGTTATCAGAGGTGTTAGTGGGCATTTCAGCCAGCTACAGACAAAGTATTCTATTAGATCCAAGTGATCACATATTTTGTATTATTTCATATTATCACTAGGTTATGTCTCTTTGAGTAGACATCTATCAATCTATCACTGTAATAAAAAGGAAAAACACAGACCTGTGCCTCAGAGAATGGATTAACGCCAACACTGTTCTCTACCAAGATAGCAGCAACTTCAGCCTCCAAATCTCCAATACGTCCCAGGGTGCGTACAAAATGTCCATTGGGGTACAGGGATGTTGACTCCCAGGAGTCAATCCTCACAACCACCCGATAATCCTGAGCGTGAAAAGAGTAGAGAATATGCAATGGGAATAGAGACGGTCATGTTCAAAAGGTTTAAAAAGAAAGGCAGCAAGCAACTATGATTCATTTATCAATTCATGTAAGCTAAAAGTATTTATACAGCTACGATTGAACATAGGTATAAAACTGGAACATCAAAACAGACACCAATGTCTGAAGTGTTACAAAAGATCAATATACATATTGCACTACATGGAATAAAAGCAAAGTGGCTTCTATCATTTACAAATAAATTCTAAAATTACATTTACAAAAAGACCTAAAGAGGAAGAGGATCATTCAACTTTGGAACAGCTTATATTCTTTTTGAAATGCTTCCATACAGGTGTTGAATTGCACTCAGCAAGATACTTAGCACCATTCTTCAAGTAGAAAAAAAAAAAAAAAAAAAGCTTATTTTTGAGGGATGGATTTGGTAGGAAAGTGCACTGCGCATATAGCACCACGTTAACTGTCTTCAATACAATGTACAGAGAATAATTAGATCATATTTATTTTATCTTCGCTCAAAATGGCCCTGAATTTGCACTCCTAACACCAAGTGAGGAAACCTATTTGCACTTGCCTTGCATGTATAGGAATCTGAATGACAGGCCCTGGCATATAATCCAGCTTTGCCATGCTTACATGAACAAGTGGAAACGATCCCTCTTTGACAATAAAGTTTGTTGATATGTTGTATACAATGTCAATGTTTGAGACTAACAAGATTATTCAAAGAGAATTTTCAAATTTAAGGAAAGTGGCTGAATGGAAACCACAGCTAGCATCACCTTTTCACTTTTGTGAATAACCCTGTTTTTCGTTTGACACATTTACTTTTGCAATTTTTGCAACGGATGTACCTGCAAGCCTTGCACTGCTATGGAATAGCCTAAAACTTCTAGCATTCACTCTAATAAGACTCTCACCTGGGCAGCTTGTGATTTAGTTACTTCAAAGTTAAACTTTTTATTTTAATTTTATTTTTTTATATAGTGTTTCTTTTATTTTGTCCAAACCTAGCATAATGCAACGGGGCGGTAGAGCTGTTTTTTTTTTGGAGAAGGTGTACTAGATAATTAAGTTTCACAAAAGCCTGGAGTATAGATAAAACCATGCCAAGGAACACATAAGGAGAATTTATTTAGGCAGATAAGAACATGGGCAGACTAGATGTTCAAATTGATTATCTGTCTTCATAATCTAGATTTCTATCAGACAACCAACCCATTAAACACTGCAGAGCAATAGAGTTGCAATAGTAGGTGACCTTCTTTAGGAAAATAGAGGGAAAATATTCAAAATAAGGTCAGCTGCATACATTATGACTAGGCTATAACTCCCATAAAACTCAGTCAGACACAAATGAAAGCAAAGTGAATTATGGGGGATTAGGAGGGGTGCAATTTTAAACATTAAGCAATGAAGGTATTGTTTTTGTAAATCAAATTTTGCACTGTCCGGGCTTTTTTTTTTTCTCAATGATTTTTAGCTGGATTACATTTGGTTAATTATATTGAACACACTTGTTAATTTTAGTATATTTTATATACAGAAGTGATTAGAAACACCAAGCATATAGTTTCACAGAATCCTCTATTTATACTCTAAACAATATTTATGATCTTGGATGCCAGTCTCCTCTGCAGCCTGCTACCTACCCTGGATTAGGAGAAATGGGCAATTTTGGTCTGTGCTTGGTCCCCCACCCCTCCATTGGACCGGTCCTCGCAGATGAAGGAGAAGCCACTCTGCTAGACAAGCCTCACGGTCCATGCACAATGGTGCATATGGTGGGTCTCTGGGGCAAGAGGGAAAACCTGCATTGGCTCCATGATAGTGTTAATGGACACAGTGAGTAGCTACTAATGAGGCCCACAATGGATATAGAGAGTATGTCTCTCCACTATATACCCTCAGTCTATCTCCTAGGTCATGAGCCGAGGTTTACTAAGCTGCAACCTGTCTATACACAGAGCTAATGCACTAGAAGCGGCTAGTCCTACCGGTTTATGTTTGTTTATTATCTTGTGATTTGCATGTTTTTTGTTTTTCAACTGCACAATATCACCTTGGTCAACATTTAGAGTAATACCGGTTACCTAGCTATTATAATATGACCTTTCATACCAATCTATGAGGATAGAGATTAGAGATTAGAGATAGATCTCTCTATCTCTATCTCTAGGCAGGGCCGGTGTAAGGATTTTTGCTACACCCACTCATGCAGACTGACGCACACACGCAGACACGTGTTCCTGGCCGCTTCCCTGTGCCTGGTCGCCTTCACTGCGTGTCAGCCCCGCTCCCTGCTATGCTCCTGCCCACTTTTCCCCACGTACAGGGCAAGGGGCTGGAGCGAGGAATTGAAGCGCCCTCGCAGCAATAAGAATGCATGTGGGTGGCTTGGCTAAGCAGGCTCAAGTGGATGCCGCCAGACCAGTGTTACACCGGGCGCTAGTCAACAGACATTTAAGTGTCCCTAGCGCCCGGTAACATTGCCGGCGGCACGTGTTTTAGAATTATTAAAACAAAGGGTCGACCAAAAGAGCAGAGCAGTAAAGCTCCTGCTGACAGCCCCCTTTAAGCAGCGCCCTAGGCAGCCGTCTAGTTGGCCCATAGGATACGCTGGCCCTGACTTTAGGGTAGTTACCTAAAGTGCAGACACTCACTTGTATGCCAATTGGTGATCAGTATCTCTCTTTTCTACCTATGTGTAGGATATCTATTCAGTTTCCAATTCATGTCAATTCTCACGGTGTTGTGTCTCTGTACGTCAAAAATTGTAAACAGGGCGGAGCCGGACCTCCATGCAAAGCAGACGTGCTGAACTTGAATTCCCGAATACTGAACCACTTTTGGGGTGATAAACCTGGTAAATCAGGTACCACTAACGGGCACTCCCTTGATCTGAGAGGCCAGGGGTGACTAGACAGACCCTGAAATCGCACTCATTACATATCAGATCCCCGAGTCACCCTGCTACGGCCTACTGTGAAATGAGCTGAGGAGAGGCGGCCGATCTCCTCACTCCTGCACTCACCGATTGTCTCAGCTGCACTCCTACCCCCTGCTCCCTCTTTGGACCGGTGGGGGATATCCTGGTGCCCACTGGACATACTGGGGCAATCTACCCTACACATAGCTCGTGCGCCGCATACAACGTTGACCGTACTCTGCTTGTACTCAGGGGCGGACTGAGCAGTCGGGCACTTCAGTCATGTTCCGATGGCCCAGCCGAGGTAGCGGGCCCACCACCCAGCCACAGACACACTACACAATTGGCGCCATCTTTACAAAGGTCCAAGGGTCATAGTGCCGAAGTCACTATTTTATTATTATTATGCCATTTATATAGCGCCAACAGATTCTGTAGCACTTTACAATATTATGAGAGGGAGATTTAACTATAAATAGGACAATTACAAAAAACTTACGGGAACAATAGGCTGAAGAGGACCCTGCTCAATCGAGCTTACATTCTATAGAAGGTGGGGTGTAAAACACATTATTGGACTGATCACTGGGGGTTGTGCTCACGATATGGTAATTATAGTCAGGAACACTGCAATATTGCTCTTTGCAGTTAGCACTAAGTAGAGGACACTGAAAACTTTTGAACAGGACCTCTTTACTTACAACTTAATGGTGAATCTAATCTCCTTTAGTTTGAGGCGAAACTAACTAGTAGGATAGGTTTAACCTTTTGAGCGACTACCTGTACTCATTTTTACAAATTGTTTTTAGCTTCATACTAGACAGCGGCTTTAGCATACATAGCCTGTTACAGTTGTCCTTATGTTAGTTTTTGCTACTTATGTATCCCCTGTCTCCATATTGATACTTTATTAATAATCAACTCACTCCATAGGTAGCAGCTTACTATTTAGCGCTTTTACCTAGTAGGCATCCCTATGTTTTAGGCTTATGTATTTGTGCATATAGTTATCACTATTTAAACAGCCTTGTATATTTATATTTTGAATTTTTGAGTACTTACTCATTTATGGACACCTACTTATCTCTTTTAACATAATTATTAAAGGTTATATTTTATTCCATTAGGGCACTCAGTTTCTCCTTTTTATTTCTCTTATTACTACTTTGGTAGTCTTTGATGGGTTAACCCCTTTATGAGTGTATCCCCTAAGCTTCCACCTCCTCATTTTTGTTGTTCTATCATTTATTTGAATTCTAGGCCATGCACATAATGCAGAGCAAGACACCTTTACTTTAAAGGACCACTCTAGGCACCCAGACCACTTCAGCTTAATGAAGTGGTCTGGGTGCCTGGTCCAGCTAGGGTTAACCCATTTTTTCATAAACATAGCAGTTTCTGAGAAACTGCTATGTTTATGAATGGGTTAAGCCTTCCCCCTATTCCTCTAGTGGCTGTCTCATTGACAGCCACTAGAGGCGCTTGCGTGCTGCTCACTGTGATTTTCACAGTGAGAGCACGCAAGCGTCCATAGGAAAGCATTATGAATGCTTTCCTATGTGACTGGCTGAATGCGCGCGCAGCTCTTGCCGTGCGTGCGCATTCAGCCGACGGGGAGGAGAAGAGGAGGATCGGAGGAGGAGAGCTCCCCGCCCAGCGCTGGAAGAAGGTAAGTTTAACCCCTTTTCCCCTTTCCAGAGCCGGGCGGGAGGGGGTCCCTGAGGGTGGGGGCACCCTCAGGGCACTATAGTGCCAGGAAAACGAGTATGTGTTTTCCTGGCACTATAGTGGTCCTTTAATGCTGGAGCGTCCCCGGAGTCCAGTGGTTTTTACATGCAGCCTGTTACTCTAATGTTGAGTAACCTGTGCAATTAGCACAATCAGACAATTTACTGATATGACCCTGCCATTATTTGGATGTGTATACTATTAAGAAATGTTTAAGTACTTTTGTATGTTACGCTATGCACTACAAAAATAAAGGATTAAAAATGTTTTTTTAAAGTTTAAAAAAAAAAAAAAAATGCCCAAAAGCAACAGTTCCAAATGTAAAATAAATAAATAAATAAATATATATATAAAAAAATAAAACAAATTGTGTTGAACTGCATAGCATATACAGTTAAACTGTGAAACTGAGAGCTGGGAATATTTATAAACTGTAAAACAAGTTTCCAACTTAACTATTTTGCCTAAAGTTTGCAGATATAATTTCTAAGTCACTTCATTGGTCTAATCACACAATAAACCTCAAAGTGCCTAACGGATTAGAGATTTAGAGTAGTAATGCATATGAAGACAGGTAGATGGTCTTTTACTGCATGGAGTACCTGCAAGGCAGCGGCTTGCTGGGTGCTGATACGGATCTTGGGTATTCTGTAGTCCCAAGGTATCACCAAGATCTTCTGAGTGTTTTTGCCCCGAGTCTGAATCTCTTCTTGGGAAGGCAAGGTTGCCACATAATCACGCCAATTCCGCTGAAGCACACCCACAACACAACCTAAGGGCAATGATTACAATTTGATCAGTCTGTGTAGCCAATGTAGAACTGCTACAAATATATATATATATATATATATATATATTTTTTTTTAAATAAAATACATAGGCCTAGTTTGCAGAACTGACTATTTTATTCACTTTCCAGAAACACACACACACACAAGAATACAAGTTAGTGAGTCGTACACTATCTCCCAGTCTCAATATACCACTGTGTACAAAGATCAACACTCAGTTACCTACAGACATGCACACCCATTAACACCACAATGCCATCTATAGCAATACCTTTACATATCACTACACATGATAGCGGGTACATTTTTGGGGTACTACTCTAAGTTCCTGACGAATGTTGCAGAGTTCTTTAAGACTTCAATTACCTGTTGGCATAATTTCTGTCTGTGAGTCCCCAGTCCGCTCATCCTCCTCATTCTCACAAAGTGCTCCAGTTTTTCCCTTCCATTCAGATTTTGGAAGAAGCTCCACTGCCACCAAATCTCCATGGATTGCTCTGTTCCGAGCCTTGTTGCCATGAATCAGTAAATCACTTTGTAGGTCTGAATCACAGATATTTATTACAAACAATTATTACTCGAAGAACTGAAGCATAGAGAACAGCAAACAGCAAGTGACAGCATCATGTTGAATGAGGTAGTGTAGTCATAGGATACACCACAAAGAAGTTAGGAAATTAAATTTTAATAAAATTAACCATAATTATAAAGTTTAGGGATGCTATGCATTAAACATAAGGAGTTAATGAATTCAGAAACAGCACTGCTTGTGTCCAATGCTAGATCAGACAATGTTTTCTGCTCTAGCAGTAATAATCATCATGTTAAAGAAGCACCTTGATAATTTTGAGTAAAGTTCCTTGGACAGCTTAAACCTGTACTTACCTGTATCTTTGCCACCAAAGCCCTGGAGACGAACAAAAGCTTCTAGCTGAGACCGATGTTTGTTCACATTGAGGATACCCTGAAAGAAAACCACCCATGTATTAGCCAACACGGACAATGACAGCCCACTGTTAAAAATAACCTTACAATCAGTTGTTAAATGAATTACCTGTTTGTACCTCCCAGACTTTATACCAGCTTCCAAAATCTCTGTTGGCAAATGCTCTTGGTACTCCTTGCCATTCTTCTCTCGGCTTTCCACCTCCCGCTCGTGTTGAGACTGTCTGAGAGATTCATAGAGTTCCACTGCCTCTTTCAGATCTGGCCAGAATGTTTCAAGGTAATTCTGTTCACATTACAACAAATCAAATCACTTTTCAAAAAAGCGCAGCATGCCAGCCAATCATTAAAATGGACATGTCCCCATCATAGAACCATGCTTGTTTAAAAATATATAATTTTGAATATAATTAAAAGTATAATCTATTAAACCTTAATTTAGAATCACATAAAGTGTGAGATTATGAATACACCTGGCACAATGAACATTTGGTTAATAATGTTTTGTGAGAGCTAAAATGTTGGGCTTATAATCTAACCACCCTTCCATTTGATTGCAGAGGATTTAACTTTCTCTGATGATTCATTGAGATCTTTTTGCCAGCACAGCTTTTTTCAATGTATGCATTATAGTGATTTCAAAAATTGCCACCTGGGTGCATACATGCTGACAAAAAATGAGCTTTACTATCCACGTTACTAATTATCCTCCTGAATCAAGTTATGATATTTGTGCATACTAAGGCCCCTAAAGAGTCTTCAGAATTGTGCAGTAAGATTATTGTAATGTTAAATCAACTGGTAGTTTCACACAATATTTTTCTATATGTGTCATAAAAATAAATAAAAATAGCGCCATTCAGAGAAACAAGGATCACACATGCAAGCGTTTCTACTCTGGTTTTAGCAGAAACCGTGATAAACCTACATGGCTCACACATAGTTAACGTTATCATGCAAAATTGCTAATGCAACAGGGAGACTGCAGGGCTGTAAATGATTAAACACATGCTCTTCACATTGCAATTACTAATGTTAAATTTATGCATACTCACCTTAAATGAGATCACATACACCCCTCCAGTCTCATTACTATACTTCTGGATAACTGCCTCGTCCTCTGTCACCATAACAACGGGAATCGTCCTGTGGCAGTGCTGGTAGTACCATACACAGGAATTATAAATGCATCTGCAGAAAGGGGTGACAGCACAGCAATCATAAACCAAGCACATTGACACTCAACTACCTGGGTACGTGAAGGTGAATGAGTTCTTAAAGTGAAATGGCCATCTCTCTTCTAATAGGATACATGTACAACATGAACACTAATGTACATTCTTCCAACAACAAAAAATTATTAACACGACTAGGCGCTGAGACACTGTAACAGTAAACATGGTGACAGGATGTCACGGCGGTTACAAGTTGGATCTCTGGTATTGGATGCAGGGGGACCTATAGACCACAATCAGAGCGGAGGGTAAGTATATGGGCCTGAAGGAAGCCAGATTAGGGACTGCTATTCCGCCCTAACGTTGTTAAAGCCCTCCTTTTGTAAGGCGGCATAGCACGTCCCAACGTTGCGATGTGGTTAAACAGCTGTGACCAGCACTAAAAGGGTAATTTTTACATTTTTTTATTTTTTATAAACTAAAAAAATAAAAAACATTTTTTAAAAATAAAATAAGTCCGCTTGACCAGCGTCAGCGAGCTCATTAATCAAGTATATATCCTAATCAGACTAATCACAGCATTAATACAGTGATCAGCACTGAAATGATTTAAGGCAGCATGGCAAGCCCTAACAAGTAATCACAGAAGACTTTGTACAGATTAAGAAATTCAATAGTGTGCTCCATCATGAAACAGTAGGCACTTGCCTAGGGTTTGTAGCACCTTGGCACTGAATATTTGAGTTACGATTAGTGGGGTCTGGAACAATATTCATCTCCTTAACTCTCCTCACGACAGTAAGTGTAGGAATATCAAATAATGTGGCAATGGAATGAGGAACTGACACTTAGACAAATTACAGTTCCTCTTCAAAGTAAATCCAACATTCATGGCCTATAAACACATGAACAGGAACCACATGTTCAGATACTTCTGGAACTCTCAGTTACAAAGCAGCTGCTTTGTGAGGAGGGGGAGAAAAGGCAGAAAAAGAATGCACTGTGCATGGTGTTTATGGGGCACTGGTGGTGGTGGCATGGTGAAAAATATGTACCTGGTTTGCCAATCCTCTGCAGGCTCTCCAATCTCTCGAGGGAGGTAGGCATGATGTTGGAATTCATTGGAGAACAGAATGCAGTCACGGCGAGCATCACGGACTATGGAACGCAGCTTTATATACTGTCTAAAACACAGATTCATGAAGAATATAGGTATTTTAATGCAGATAAGAACCCACTGCTTAGTGCTTTCTGAATTTGCTATTCTTCACTTTATTTCCTGCCCTTGACAGCCATAAATCCACCACTAAAATCTTCTCAAAACTCACAACCACCTTAACTGGTAATCCACTGCATCCAAAACACTTACCGTATATACTCGAGTATAAGCCGAGTTTTTCAGCACATTTTTTGTGCTGAAAAACCCCCACTCGGCTTATACTCGAGTCAGTCTGTATTATGGCAATTTACATTGCCATAATACAGACTGGGGGCTGGCAGAGCTGTTACTTACCTCTCCTGCAGCTCCTGTCAGCTCTCTCCTCCTCCGTGCCGGTCCGTGCAGCACCTCGGTCAGCTCCCAGTGTAAGTCTCGCGAGAGCCGACTTACAGTGTGAGCTGACAGAAGAGCTGCACGGACCGGCGCGGAGGAGGAGAGAGCTGACAGGAGCTGCAGGAGAGGTAAGTAACAGCTCTGCCAGTCCCCCTCATCCCCCCACTGAACTGCCAATGCCACTGGACCACCAGGGAAGGAGAGCCCCCCTCCCTGCCATGTATCAAGCAGGGAGGGGGGACAAAAAATAGATAAAATAATAATATATAAATAAAAATAATAAAAAAAATAATAATAAACAAAATAATAATATAACAAAAAAATGAACAAAAACTAAATAAAATAATAATACATAAATAATAATAAAAAAAATAATAATAAAAAAATTATTAAAAAAATAATAATATAACAAAAAAAAATTTAAATAATAATATATATTTTTTTATATAAAAATGCCCACCCCCCACCAAGGCTCTGCAACACAAACACACACTGCATCACACACACACACACTGCATCACACACACACACTGCATCACACACACACACTGCACTCATACACACATACACTGCATTCATACACACACACTGCACTCATACACATACTGCACTCATACACATACTGCACTCATACACACATACACTGCATTCATACACACATACACTGCATTCATACACACACACACTGCATTCATACACACACACTGCATTCATACACACACACTGCATTCATACACACACTGCACTCATACACACATACTGCATTCATACACACATACACTGCACTCATACACACACACTGCATTCATACACACACGCTGCGCACTCATATACACACTGCATTTATACACACACTGCGCACTCATACACACACACTGCATTCATCATATACACACACTGTAAATAAATATTCAATCAATATAATTTTTTTAGGATCTAATTTTATTTAGAAATTTACCAGTAGCTGCTGCATTTCCCACCCTAGTCTTATACTCGAGTCAATAAGTTTTCCCAGTTTTTTGGGGTAAAATTAGGGGCCTCGGCTTATATTCGGGTCGGCTTATACTCGAGTATATACGGTACTTTGCATTTTCCCCTAAAATATTGTTGATGCCCTATTCATCTTAGTATCGTTTGCTGAAGAAAATAGTACAAGCATCTTTTACTTTGTCAAATGGATTGACTTATTCTGATGTTATGTCACTTGTGTCCCTTCTTTTAATTTCTAGCTGTAAAAGTAAACATATAAAACATTAAGTGAGTAGCCTTGTAATAACCTTTGCTGGGAGGCTGTTCCGTGAACCTATCAAACCTCTTTTTTCACACTTTGCTTCCAAGACATCAGAGATTAACCTAATTATAGCAGAGTATATTACAGGAGAATCAGGTCAAGTGTACACCATGCCTTTTAATAGCACACCAGAGGTAGACTATTACATTTTATTCTTTTTTTAATAATTTAAAAACTTGATAAATGAATAAAATGCTGTAAAAAAAATGCAGCTCAATAATCGCACAGCTATCAGACTGGATACTGTCTATTAAACCCTGTAATAAGGGAGAGGCAAAAAGCTCTGAGATGGCCATATCTGAACAGAAATCATTACACAAATCAAATTTGTTGCAGAGATAAAGTGCATATTTATCATTCCTATGGCCACTTTGGATAAAAATCTGTCAGGGGAGTATATAACGAATGTTAATTTTGTTTGCATGTCCCTGGCACTACACAGGATACTTTAAAAGGGTGCAAATTGAATGCGACCAACTAGTATATTTCTAATACAGTAATTACTTTAAAGGACCACTATAGGCACCCAGACCACTTCAGCTTAATGAAGTGGTCTGGGTGCCAGGTCCAGCTAGGGTTAACCCTTTTTTCTATAAACATAGCAATTTCAGAGAAACTGCTAGGTTTATATTAGGGTTAATCCAGCCTCTAGTGGCAGTCTCATTGACAGCATGCTTTCCTATGAACTAGCTGAATGCGCACGCGGCTCTTGCCGCGCATGCGCATTCAGCCGAGGAGGAGGAGAGAAGGCGGAGAGCTCCCCGACCAGAGCTGGATAAAGAGGTAAATTTAACCCCTTCCTCACCCTAGAGCCCGGCGGGAGGGGGACCCTGAGGGTGGGGGCACCCTCAGGGCACTATAGTGCCAGGAAAAGGAGTATGTTTTCCTGGTACTATAGTGGTCCTTTAATACTCTTACCTACTTGTAAACTATATCCCAGAGCTTTTAATCAAGCCATGGAAAAAAAAATAGCAAGCACGCACACACACACACACAACATATGGTACATATAGTTTTTAAAAGAATTAAAATATATTCAAGGTTGT